AACAAGTGTGGACATGCCGATATGCCGCCTTCCTAACTTGTCTCCGCAAACCATTTAATTTTGATTCAGACCATTTGAAGAGGTATTGCAAATTTTTAATAATAATGGGATTGCCTCCTATAGCCTAGATATATATAAACAAACAAGTATAGAATAATATAATTATAATTCTATATATTTATTAGACTGGCGTTGTAATTAGGAGTTGATCAATGTATCAGCTCCTTATATACAATACATTACTTAATATAAAACATGTTATATATCAGAAAATACATAAAAAGAAGATTATTTAAAGATCAAGAGCCAGGAAAAATAAAGTTTTTTTTAAAGACAATTCGCAAAGAAATTGAGTTTTTGCCACAAGCTCAAATTTTATAATCTCTATATCTTTGCAACCTAATAGCCGCACACCTTTGATATTTCAAACTCAGATTATTTGGTCTAACATAATTCAACGTTTGAAATATCAAGGGTCTACGACATTGGGTTGCAAAGATATTGAAATCAGAAAATCAGAGTTTGTGGCAAAGACTCAATTCCTTTCTATTTGGTTTTCATGTAAATGCAGAAAGTAGGACTGGACAAGTTCCAACTTCTTTCACCTGTTAATAAAATATCAAAGGTTTACACCATCAGATTGCAGAGATATAGAGTTTAAAATTTGAAATTTGTGGCAAAAACTTAGGTTTTTTTTGGTTTACGAGAGCAGTACTTTTTATTACTATTATAAAACCTATTTGTTCCCATTTTTATTGCAATTTATTACATGTTTAACTTAATACATCCCAAACTGACATTTAATTTACACTATTAATATGACACCTTGGTAAATTATTGTAAACTTTCAAATCCTAGTAATTTTCAACATCTTTTAAACGTGTATTTTTTATAAAGTAGGTGGGGACAACGAGGTTATGTACGCTAATCCTTTACTAATTGTATAGGCCATAAACTATACCGAGAGCGCCCTGCATATTTGTTTATTATAAGGAGATTCTGGCGTAACCTATAGTATATCAATATTAATTAGTAAACAGTTGTAAGTGTACAGTACAGCTAATTGAGCACACAGGTAGAGAACTATCATCCCCCCTGGGTGGGGATAATACCCAAAACAGTGTGAACTAATCTCCACCTCTAATTGCTTTAGTGCATATGAAAACAATAAATATAGTTGCACATTTTTTGCCTGTAACACAATAATTGTTATAAATATCGTTAGCAATAAAATATATCTTATCTTATCTTATATACCATAAATCAACGAAATTAGCTTTTCTTTTTTGAAGGCATCCAATCGTTTTTATTAAAATTCAATTTATTTTAAAGAAATGGTATCTTTCGAATTAATTTGAAAAATTAACGGTTTTATCCGTTCATTGACGGAATTTTCTGTTAATTTTCAAAAGCAGCCTTTCGTTCGTTTGTTCGTTCGTTCGTTCGTTTGTTCGTTCGTTCGTTCGTTCGTTCGTTCGTTCAAAATTACAATTTTGTTGAACGATGAGGAAATCAAAGACTGAGATTTTTGCCGGGAATTCGATCTTTTCCGAAAGTTTTTTTAGAAAGATTTCCTGAAAAATGACTGAAATGATTTGACTTCTTGGATTAGTAACAAGGTAAACTTCTCCTGAATTTAGTTTAATTCTAAATTCTCTTTAACACTTTTACACGAATGCAATTAACTCTTCAAGATTTGTAAAACTAATCTAATAAAACCAAAATTATCTGCCCTAAATGTTTAAAAAGAATTACACAGCAAAAATGGATAATTAAAACATAAAAGCGACTGTAAAATGTTTATGTTAGTTTAACTGATGTTATAATTATTAAAATATAAAAACATCAAAAGGAAAACCCTGCAGTATGTCTGACGTATCAAAACATTTAGAAAATAAAAAAATCTGAGCGCTTTGATCTTTTTTATTAATTTATAATTAATTTACATATTTAAGATTAATTAAGTAATTAGGTTCAATGTTTTTACAGGGAAAATCAAAATTCTGTTTTTACAGTACGCAATTGTGCACACTTAAACACAGTCCAATGCAACCCTGCCCCGAATCCCCCCCCNAAGGGAATTCCTGAATTTAAAGGTTTGTAAGTGTTAACCCTATGAAGACTGGGGGGGGGAGTCTGAATCTTATGCATAGCCTGATAGCATCAAACGTAACCACGTCCCCCGCTCCCTAGAAAAAGGCCTCAGAAAATATGTAAAGGGTTGAAATGCATGTTCATAGGGGGGTACACGGGAGATGGTGGATAGGTAACAAACAGTTCTAGAAAACAACAATTTATTTAAAGATTTATCTTTCTTCAGACTCAAGATGACTCAAGATGGTTAAGAAGTCCATTTTTATTCATTAAATATTGATTTTCAAGGGTTTTTAATCGGTTGTACACTGTAAACTTGACAAAAGAAGAAGAAAAATTGTATGCAACATTACTGGTGTGATGTGGTGACCTTGTAGCTTCGTAGTATGAGAGAAGTTTTATCCAGATACAAAGAAGAATTTAAATCATGTATGTTCTTCTCAATAGCTTTTCATTGATTGAAAATATTTAAGATTTCAATCTTTAGATTATATAACGGTCAATTTAATATGGGTTTAAAAACCTTTCAGTGACAAATTCAAATATTATTTATCCAGATTGAGACAAGACATGGTTTGTTCAAGCCAGTTAATTTATGAAAGGTTTCGCAGCAGAAAATAATTCTAATATTGTTACTTTAGTTTCTCCATTAACAAATTAATTTGATTAGCAATTTGAAAATTACAAAACTTTATAGGTTTAAAAATACAATAGAACTAAAGCTATACCCTCTTAACTTCATCTCCTTAAAATCTGACTGCACCCCAAAAAAAGATGATTTTTTGTTCATTAATGCTCTCCCTGTAGACTTTAGATCAGTTATAAACTGAATGAAAAAAATGGATCTGGTAATAGTTTTGTGAAGAGATAAAAACAGACTGAAACTAGAGATTGTTTAGTGTAGACTAATACTAGACGGTATACATGAGACTGGAAATATAACTAGTTTAGTGTAGACTAATACTAGACTGTATACAAGAGACTGGAAATATAACTAGTTTAGTGTAGACTAATACTAGATTGTATACAAGAGACTGGAAATATAGGTAGTTTAGTGTAGACTAATACTAGACTGTATACAAGAAACTGGAAATATAACTAGTTTAGTGTATGACTAATACGAGACTGTATACAAGAGACTGGAAATATAACTAGTTTAAAAGAGACTGGAATTAGGACTATCAGAGTGTTGACTAGTACTATACTGTATAAAACAAGTCTAGAACTGTAGAAACAGAAAGATCATTAATTTAAAGACGAGGAAAACATTTTCTTACTAAATTTCAGGGGTAAAAATATGTCCGAGAAAGGAAGGGTTTCCATTATTTAAACACTATAAAAAAATTAGACTGCAGGATGATATATTAAAGGGAGTGTCTGGCTAAACATGGTATAATTGTGCTAAGAATGTAGTTTTGTAGGAAATTTTTTAGGATTCATTTGAGACATATCAGAGGTTGTCACAGTGCATATTTGTTTAACAAGAGCGCAAATTCAATCTTTAAAATCCTCATAGATTGTACATTTTGGAGCAATAATGTTAAAAATCGGTTTAAAAAAATTATTCTTTGACGAACACGAATAACGTAACAAAAATTCGATAGTAAACTAATTACTTGTTGTCTCGAATGAATCCTTAAAAAATCCCTACAATACTGTATTCTCAGCTCAACTACAATACTGTATTCTCAGCTCAACTACAATACTGTATTCTCAGCTCAACTACAATACTGTATTCTCAGCTCAACTACCATTTCTAGCAGAAACTCCCTTCTAAGGTTTCAGAAAGAAATCTCAATTTTTTAACTCATTGCAATGATTAGCAGAAGTAATCAATAATCTACTTTATTACAAAATTACAATATTCGATTGTTTGATGATTGAAAAAATGACTTTTTTAAAGTAATGTGGGGCGTCTTTCTCTGTATTTAAGCTAACTGTATCTGTTCAAAAGTTGTCATAAACTGCATTTTCCTATTATTTTGTAATTTGAATTGAATTGCAATCCAAGGGAATAATAAACATTATAAATGTTTGTAAAAAGCAAGTATTGGATGCAGCCATACATTGAACATTAATTCACATTATCCTACCTAATAGAAACCAACAGTGCTTACAAAACCTCTCTACAAAGTATTTTTTTTTTTACAAAATTAAGATGTTTTGCGCAACCCCTATTTATTATCAATTCTAGAAAGCAGGATATTTTCTGGTCCGGATATTTGGCTATAAACAGTTTTTTCAATCTTTTTATATAAAAACATTTTCAGCAAAATATCTTTAATATCCTCTGTCTAGTATAGGATAAAGAGAGAGTTATCCTAAAATATTCTGTATATCTTATTAAAAATATATATAAAATGTATTATATATATATATATATATATCCTTTTCTTGTTTTGTATTGCAGGATATATGCTTTGATTCTTTACAATACAATGACAAGACAGTTGGATGGAAATATACAGGCGTAAACTATATGTTTCCTGTACAGAGTAATGTTTCCTGTACAGTATAATGTTTCCTGTACAGAGTAATGTTTCCTGTACAATATAATGTTTCCTGTACAATATTATGTTTCCTGTACAATATACGATTTTTAAACAACGTTATGTGTAGTTGGAGTGATAATGATAAAAAATATTTGACCAAAAAGTAGCACAATTGCTGTTTCGTAGGTTCATTGGACTATTTAAACAACTTGTCCACAGTTTTATGGGGTTCACTATACAATACGTTGCTTTCTGTACAGTTAATGTTTAATTATAATATCTATTTTAGATCAACTTAAAAAATTGTTCATTAAGAAGAATTGTTGTATCTGAAAAAACAGACTTATATTTCTGTACTGTAAATCGCTGTACACTGTACAGTACCTAAAGTTAACAAAACTATTTACTAATTACCTGAGATTGGTATGTACACGTTGAGATACAAACAATCCTCAGACTGGTTCTTCAAGCCAGGAGCAATCCGTCTCAAGTAGTTTAACCGACCCTAGAGATATGATTTTAATAATATCCATGGATGTAAAAAATTCATCTATCTTCCTATTCATCAATCTATCTTTTAATATATCTACTTTAATCTTGAAAATAGAGCTAAGATGTTTTATGAATATCCAACTATATTATTAAGTAGTTTAACCGATCCTAGAGATATAGTTTTAATCCGTCTCAAGAGTTTAACCGAACCAAGAGATATAGTTTTAATCCGTCTCAAGAGCTTAACCGATCATAGAATTATATTTTAACCCTTTCCAAGCTTAACAAACACTACAGAGATATTATTGTAATCCGTTTCACGTACTTTAACTTTTAACCGACCCTATAAATATATTTTTTAATCCGTTTCAAGAAGTTTAACTGATCACAGAGATATTATTTTAATCCGTTTTAAGTAGTTTAACTGATCATAGAGATATCATTTTAATCCGTTTCAAGAAGTTTAACTGATCATAGAGATATTATTTTTATCCGTTTTAAGTAGTTTAATTGATATTATAGATATCATTTAAATCCGTTTTAAGTAGTTAACTGATCACAGAGAAATTAGTTTAATCCGTTTCAAGAAGTTTAACTGATCATAGAGATATCATTTTAATCCGTTTCAAGAAGTGTAACTGATCATAGAGATATCATTTTAATCCGTTTCAAGGAGTTTAACGGATCATTGAGATATCATTTTCACCCGTTTCAAGTAGTTCCACTAATCATAGAGATATCATTTTAATCCGGTAAAAAAATCACCTGTGATATATGTTGCAGAGCCATCGTTGTATTTTCTATCTCAGGAAAGTCCTAATTAATTAGTAGAAGCATAAATTTTGTAAACAACAAGCTCATTTTTTCATTTAAGTTTTACATTGGTTATTTAAGTATGTCTAATTGACTTTAAGAAACTAACCCTGTGGAAAAGTTGGTGATAAAGTTGGAACAACTTTTAATGGTCAATATATCTAAAAGTTTCAGTTTAGTATAAAAGCTTTGATCATTCCGCACAAATGCGGTTTTGAAAGTTCATGACGTAGACCATACTTTTACTCTTTATTTACAATTCTTGGAAAAAAATGACAGAAAACAATGTTTGTCATGTAAATACCAAAATTTAATAATTTAAACTCAACTGGTTTATCTGGGGAAAAACTGGTTGAAAATGAATCTAGTTTACATGTGGACAAACTGGTTGAAACTGAATAAAGCTGGTTTACCTGGGGGCAAACTGGTTGAAACTGGTTGACCTGGGGGCAAACTGGTTGAAACTGAATAAAACTGGTTTACCAGGGGCAAACTGGCTGAAACTGGTTTACCTAGGGGCAAACTGGTTGAAACTTGTTTACCTGGGGGAAAACTGGTTGAAACTGGTTTACCTGGGGGCAAACTGGTTGAAACTGGTTTACCAGGGGGCAAGCTGGTTGAAACTGGTTTACCTGGGGGCAAACTGGTTGATACTGGTTTACCTGGGGGAAAACTGAATGAAACTGGTTTACCTGGGGGAAAACTGGTTGAAACTGGTTATCCTGGGGGAAAACTGAATGAAACTGGTTTACCTGGGGGAAAACTGGTTGAAACTGGTTTACCTGGGGGCAAACTGGTTGAAACTGGTTAGTGTCCAGAACCTCCTTCCAGGGGGAAACTGTGACTGGGGGCATAAATCTCAAATTCTTGACTGGAGCAGCCGCAAAGGGAATTCCTGAATTTAAAGGTTTGTAAGTGTTAACCCTATGAAGACTGGGGGGGGGAGTCTGAATCTTATGCATAGCCTGATAGCATCAAACGTAACCACGTCCCCCGCTCCCTAGAAAAAGGCCTCAGAAAATAGGTAAAGGGTTGAAATGCATGTTCATAGCCCAACTTTTCAAGGCCAGCTCATTGAAAAAAAAATTTAAACCGATAACTTCAATAGCTTGGTGCTAGGGAGGGTTGAAAAAAATGCCGAAAAAAATGCCAAAAAATTAAATTTCAAAAATATTTTTTTGTTTTTTTTTGTTAAACAAATATCAAGGTGTGACGCGTGTTTCTACATCCATTTTTCGAAGGCTTTTCAAACATATAGTTTTTAGATATTTAGCTCTGCAAAAATATTATGGGCTGGTTATATTAGATTTGTTTTTAACAGACCGGACTTTATACCGCCTTTTCATTTCATCAAATCATAAAATAGAATTAGGTAATCCTGTAAAGAAAAGTTAGAACCCAAACCAATTATATATTTTAAACTATGATTTCTGTTAGATCATATAATCAACGTTTAAAATATTAAAGGTTTACACCATCCGGTTCCAAAGACTTGATTCCTTTGTGAAAAGCGAACTTTTGATTTGTTTCGTACAGTTTAATTAATGCTAAGTTAATTGATGTTCCTAGTTTTAACAAGTCATTTTCGTTAGGTTGAGCCCAGGTACTAATGCAAGGAAAGTTATTTCAGAGGTGTACGCATTTTTTGTACTGCAGTGTACTGTCTTTAGGCGGAAAAGTAAACACAAGACGGGTTTCACAGCCTGACATGGGATCCATTTTTACAAAAATATTCTATGAAATATTCTGGTCATAGGTAACTATTATGTGAATTTTCAAAATTATCAAAATTAAATGCTTTTAACTTCCTCGGATACTAAACGAACACTGATGCATCTATTCTTGTTTACAAATTCCGCCTCCAGCGTATCCTGGTTTTCAAGTACCCCAGCGGGGATAGGGTTAAATGCTTTTAACCTTCTCGGATACTAAACGAACACTGATGCATCTATTCTTGTTTACAAATACAGCCCGGAGAGAACTGGTTTCAATATGTACGCAAAGTATACGTAACTGCAATTAACTTTCTTTGCATTAGTACCTTGGGTTAATTCATGTTTGAAAGTTTGAGTCATTATAAAAGTCTTTTTCAAAAGGTCGAGTCATGTTTAAAAGTTTGAGTTTTGTTCAAAAGGTCGAGTCACATTCGATATTTAGAGTCTTGTTCATTGTTTGAAAGGTCGATTCATGTTTAAAAGTTTGAGTCTTGTTTAAAACGACAATTTTCAGAAAAAAGGAATCTCATAACTTTTTTAAACGATTACTTTCTGCCAATTTAATTCCTTATCCGCATCTTTGCAAACTTTATCATCAAAGTCATTTTGCAGAGATTAGTTTTTGCATCTGCAAAATTGGATAGAAAAGGGTTGATGGAATATCATTAAAGTAGAGAAAGACAAGAGGATTTTTGTATGCAAAATTATTATCTGAAGTTTGCTAAAATATATGCATCTTGGAATAATGTTAGGCTAAGTGTGCATTCTCAGTTTTAACCTGACATAAAAAAGTTTACATAAAATCTAAACTTTTATGAAACGCATTAATGTTTGAAGTTTTAATTTCTCATTTCAAAAGTTTTAATCTGATGATGGTCGTATTCAATAACTAATCTATTTATATTTGATCCTTTAACCCTTAACCTTGCAAGGTCTGTTCACGAGTTTTTATTCTTTTAAGCCATTTATTCAAATTATCAGATTAAGTGCATTTTTTGAGGAAATTTTAAATTTTCGACTGGCTTATGCTTTCCTGGAATCATGTTAGGTATATATAAATACTTCAACAAATCTGGACCCGATCGGTTCAGCCGTTTTGACGTTTACCAGATACTAACAAACCAACAACCAAGCCAAATTATAAACTTTATAAAATGTCGTCTTGGCAATTTTTCAACGTTTTATACTAAAAGTCATTTAAAAATAAATAATTAGCAATAAATACAGAAACAGTTTAAAAGAGCTCCTTATAATCATTCAATAAAAAAAACTAAATAACTACATCACTCTTTTGATGTCTCCGAAGTTCTGGATTAAACTGTATAAACTGTAAAAAACCCAGCAAATCTTCACTTTGATCAAAACTTTAAAAATCATTTTTGGTTTCTAATTAAGACCGGTAAGAAGTATGAAATGAAGGAATTGAATTAAGAATTATCTCCCGAACGTTAACTTCATACATAGAAGATTTTCTGCAATTAAAATTATTTTTCTTTTCAAGACGTTAAAAAGCTAAAATGTAATCTTTATATACTATTGACTTTTATTTCAACTTTTAAATTTAAGCATTTTCCTTTTTACAAAATAAAACAATAACAAAAAAGTTTCCGAACTTATAAAATTTGTTCGTGCATTTTAAAAATTTTACGCAAATTTTGGACATTTTTTTTGTTATCCGCAGCTCATCCATAAACCTTTCCTGGAGGTCCCAAAAGAAATTTGGGCCCCATCGGGTCAGCGGCTTTGACGTTTATTGGATACAAACAAACAAACAGACACCCAGACAAGCAAAGCGTATAGAAATATGAAATAGTAATCTCTGAAATCTTCTAGCTTTGTTTTTAAATTCTTTGTAGAGTAGGTTGACCTCCATAAGAAAACAAATTAGGCACAGATGGATTCTCGTTTAGGTTAGATTTAATTTGACCTAAATTGCATCTAAAGCGTAATATTTACGCCTATACATATAAATTGAGAAGAATATGTTCAACGTATCCTATATTGCCATAAATAAGGCTTTTTTCAAAGACAAAAACAATTTCAACTGCCAGAAACTGACTGCAGATTTTGGATAGAATTTTACTCAAAACTTTCTTTGTACTTTCTCTACATCTTCAGCCCTTCATGTATCAAAATTTTAAATTATTTTTTTGCACCGAAATGAAGAATTTGCTGGGGGTTTGATCAGGTTCTTCTCAAGGTTCTTCATTTTAAATGCGGTGTAAAAAATCTTTTCAAATATGAGAATGTCCCTTGATCGGAACTTTATAGTCGATAATTTTAATCGTCAACTCTTGATCAAGATATCCAATGTGGACACTTTTAAAATAAATAGCTTAATTTTTAGGAGGAATTAAATTAATCTATAATATCTGATTCACGACATTAAAGTTCTGACTCATGAACTGATTCAATTTTTGCTGATTGCTGATGATAATTTTGTCGGATTTTTTGTCTTTACTTTGCGAAGTCGTCTTATGCCAACTGCAAAAACTGAAGATTGAGAGACACGGGAAACGCCAAATACGATTATTGATTTAAAAATGCTTTCAAAGATGGTTTAAGATGCCAAAGAGTGTTTATAACACGAGAAAACTTGTACAGTCCTGAAATGGAGAAATTTTTAGTTTTGTTTTTCAGATATAAATAAAATCTTTATATCTATATATAGTGAAAGTACCTAGGTTGGACAGATATATTATGTGTCTTGAAGACAATTATTCTGTAGAGATGTATTCTCTAAATGTATCCTGGCACCAAGGATAATGAGAAGGATAGAACAGAACTTGGATAATTAGTAACCTACACCTTAATCTTATACTCCTCCACCCTCCCCTCCCTCCCCTCCATCCCTCCCCTTCCTTTCTCCCCAACCTACCTACGTGACCTCAATCTTATACTTAAAATTTTTAACATCACTTTCGCGGGTTTTCGTGTTCTAAAGTTTGTGAGTGTTTCAAGAAATTCATGGTGTAGGAAAAAAATACACTCAAATGTTAAATAGGGAAACTGTTATAAAATGCAAAATGGTATACAGGCAAGCTGTATATAGGCATCTCGTTTTACAGACGAATGTGTATTATACAGGCATATCGTTTTACAGGTGAATGTGAATATAGGCATATCGTTTTACAGGCGAATGTGTATTATATAGGCTGTTGAGTACTGTAGCGAATGAGTACTAACTAGTGTACCAGGCAAAATGTTACTGATCCCGTACACATAATAGTGAAGTATTTTGCGGTGGATATCATTTTTTAAATTTTCCAAAAATCTGTATTTTGTTGGAAAGAGGTTTCTACATGTGTTGGTTATTGTTTTATTCTAGTTTCCTACTCCCAGGTTAACACCCCCATTTCTAGAACTGAATAAGAAGATGTATAAGAAACCTACCTTTGAAGGTTTTTATTGAAATAGTCCCTCGGCTTTCCACTCTCCCTCGTACAGATCCATACTTGGTCTTTACAATCTAACAAATACATTTTGAGACTTGGATTAAATAATTTTAATGGCACTTTCGTTGATTTTTCCGTTTTAATTGGAGGATTTCCAAAATCAAAATTGCGCACGGCAAACGTTTTTATTTTACGCAAGTTACAAACTGTTAAATGTGACTTTCTTTTGAAATTTAATTTTTTTTTAATTTATGAAATCGATCTTTTATATCCTATCGATCTTTAAAACTGTCCCCGCATATTCATGGCTATTTATTTATCTTTGCAAATAATGAGATTTACGTAAAATAGTATAAAACCCATTGGAAAACTGTCAAGACAACATTTGATAAATTCTTTCGATGTATGGCTCATTTAGGGTTTAACTGTATGTTGTAGGAACATCTTTTACATCATATATTTAATTTTGTTTTATAATTTTAGAACCAAATATGTTAATTTTGTTTTATAATTTTAGAACCAAATATGTTAATTTTGTTTTATAATTTTAGTAAAGATTAAAAAGATCTATGCTGAGATGTACCTGGTACGATGAATGTCCCGGGACGGAGAGAAGAGAATAGATTATCAGGAAAATTATCATTTTACAATAAACTCGAGGAAACATATTCACTATCAAGGGTTTCTCAAGGTTGGTATTTACTCTCAAGGGTCCAGGTTGGGATTCACTATCAAGGTTTTATCAAGGTTGGTATTTACTCTCAAGGTTTTATCCAGGTTGGGATTCACTTTCAAGGTTTTATCCAGGTTGGTATTCACTTTCAAGGTTTTATCAACTTCACTATATCACTTTATTAGGTTTTTATATTGTTAAAACGGGCCTGAATTCACTTTAGATTGGGACAAAGGCAATATATAATTCACTTTATACCAGTGCCATGTAAAGTAGGAGGAAGGCGCAACATATTTATAGTTTTCTTAATCAGGTTTTAATTTCATTTTCAAATTTTCTCATCGAGAAGTTTTTTTTTGAATTCAACAAATGTATCTGAAAATATACATCATTAATTTGAACACTATTAAGTATGTAGTATATCCTATTATATCATATTATGCCTAACGTCTATTATGAATCAGGCCCCGTTGGAAAACTATGGAATAGGATTTGGAGAACATTTAATGTGATAAAGTGTTTTAATATCGTTAAATCAGGTATATCCGGGAAATATTCGACTATAAAACCCGGAGTTATAGATCAGGAACAAAACTTATAAAAACTTTAATTATCAAATAAAAAAACGGGCTCTTTGCAAAATTATAATCTGATGAAATTTTTAACAAAAACACCCGCTAAAAATGTTAGTTTTGATTATAAAGATGCTACTTCACGTGAATCAAAACTTATAGAGTGCAGGTATTTCTAATTCACAATGATTAATAATCCCTAAAAGTATTGTCAAATCAAAAGCAAAATTAACAATTGGAGGCCGAATTTAAAGAATTTCAGCCGTGGCTCAAATATGGTTGGTTTCACTTAAAATCGTATTTATTGTTTCAACATTTAATCTGGCGCTCAATTGAAACAGGTTTTTGGCGGATTTAAGACGCGGCTCAAATTCATTAAATTCGGACACTGACAAAATAAAGTTTTCAATGTATTATTGCAAGTCTGACATAAACGGAGAATCGATTAAAATTACCTTTTCTGTCTCTTTAAGTGAAAAAATGTATCTATATAGTGTTTGACATGATTGTATAAAGAATACACTGTGTCCATCATTTTTATATTTATATTATATATATGTATATTAAATATAAATATATATATATTTATATTCTGCTTTCTGCATAATTTATTCAGAACCTTTATACACAGGCTTAGTCAATAGAATCTTATCCCATGCTTTAATATAATCTTTTTATCGACATTATTTTATAAAAAAATTATATCATTTTATAAAAAAAATCTTTATTTCAATCTTTTTTCACAATCTTTATACCGTCTTGTTTTTACAATCTCAATATCAACCTATTTTACACAATCTTCATATCAATCTTATTCTATACAATCTTATGTCAACCTTATTTTTTTACAATTACTTTATACCAATTTTTTCAACCCTCTCCAGCACCAAAACTAACAAAGTTATCGGTCTAATTTTGTTTTTCAATGAGCTGGCCTTGAAAATTGAGCTATAAATATGCATTTTAACCATATACCTATTCTTTTTCTATGGGGGGGGGAGGAATGGGACGCCCCCCCAGCCTTTATAGAGTTAATTGTGATCTCAAAACAAAACAAATATATATTTTGTGCATTATCAAATATGAAAAAGATTAACAATCCCTTTAACACAATCGTATTCGTTATGATTTCCTATTCAATCCATCTCTAGGAAAGTCAGAGATGGAATTTAAAGAATTTGAGTCGCGGTTTAAATCTGCCAAGGTTGTTGTGATGCTACCTATCCAATTCTTTATCGATCTAGGAGACAGAGAGAGAGGGAGTTAAAGCGTAACTACAACCAAATTCTTTACTCAACCAAATCTTAGTTAAAGGGGAAATAGACCATAAAGTACAACTACTAGGATTAGCTAAAACCTAAGCAGAGGTGCCTCTTGTTATCTCAAAGGAAATTCTACTTGGAAATTAATCAACAAAACCAGAATTTCAAATATCCGTTCCCATGCAAATATTATTTTGAAATAGCAAATCCTGCGGAACTTTCGTTGGTTCACTGGTTAATCAATTATAAAAGATTTAAGACTTATAAATGACAGATGCTCGCCATAAAGTAGAGCGAGTAAAATTGCAGGGAAAAACTCTGGACTAGAGATAGAGCTTGAATCAAACTTGACCAGGGATCAAAGAGACAGGAGACAAATCTAAGTCTCAACCGAAACTCAACTCTAAGACAACTTTGTTAAACTCTTTTACATTCAACCGTTCACAATAAAACTAACTCAACCCGCCACGCTAAAGAAACCGTTCCAATCTAGTTTTAACCATAAACAACTGACGAGGAGACCTGGAGTAAGGAGAAGGATGGATTTGACCCGGAGATAGGATAAGAACTCTAGGGTTAGATCAACACTACAAATGCTTCAATCAAAGGAATACTATTCTAGACAGGGCAGTTTAATTCTATCTTGGATTTAGTTTAAACAATTTAAGATTTCAATCTTATCTATATATAGTTTTAGTGGCTAGTTTTCTATCTGGTTTAAACCAAACTAAACTGCTGTACGAATATATAACAAACCCGGAACAGACAATTGAGTTGACTTTAATATAAACTTAATGTCATTAAAACCTGACCGTCACAATCGGGCTTACCTCAACCTTGGGTCACTGATTTATACTGTTCAGTGCCCTTACTGTCGTAAGACCTTTTATACCCGGAAACAAATTTTTCGTTTGACCAACGCACATTACCGCCAATATTATCCAATCAAATTCTCTTAATTCAGCGCTGGTACAGATTATTTCTGTATCAAATCAAAACACCTTCTGCTCCTTGAGCAAATATGAATGATTCATATTGACCCTTGATACATTGCATAACGTAAACAATAACATGGAAAAATCCTCATGTTTTTGTTTGTTCGAGACTAAGAACCTATGAAGGGGGGGATTTACTCTACAAGTAAAAATCCTTACAAGGTTATAATACAATAAATACAAAAATTAGACGGAAAGTTTCTCTTTGAACATTTCTAAGTGTGCCCTGTTGCTGATCCTGATTGACAGTCTTCTGACACCTGCTTCTTCACTGTTTGCACATTCTATTTACAAATCACTATGTGTCTATCTATATATGTTTCTTGTCATATCAGTTTGTTTTCTCGGACATTTATCACTTCTCCTATATTTGTTATCCTGGTCATTTTCCAAGTACTGTTTGGACACAGGGCCTCCCCTCTACGTTATTCTGAAGAAAGAACTCTACTCCTCCCATCCGGTGAATGATGGATGAGGTTCTGACGTTATCGGTGAGCTCTAAACAGTTTTCAAAGATCTAAAAATACAAAACATATATCTAGGTTTTTCTCGCTCATCTCTTTTAGATCTTACAATTCTTCTATGGTTCTAAACTAGCTAGAACATGCCGTGGTCACACTGCATCAGTTGCTTACTCTGATGCGACCCAATGTATGGGAAATATATGACGTCACTAATTATAATGGTGAGAGTGACTCACATTAAGATTTTATTTATCTCTGCTTAGGAGATGACATTTCCCGTACATTTAGCGCATCTAGAGTAAGCAAGCCTTGTTATACAACCTTGATGAATGCTTTACAAAATTTGTACTGCCCTGGCCCCATCCTTCTCCTATACAGGGATGAGTTCAGTCCCATAGTTGGCTATGTTTGAATAATTCAATAATAGTCAGACAATTCAAAATTGAATTTTTACTGGTATTTGTACACACTAAAATAAGCTTGTGTAGGTCAACATAGGATAAGGCCGGTATAAAAAGTCGTAACGGTTCAAATTTAAATTGACCCTAGTCCTATGAGCGTATTTTATAACTCCAGAGTCTAAAACTAAAGAACGAAAAGTTTTGACTTAAATTTTAAGTTCGTGGTTAAATGCCACTTTTGACTTAATTTAAACCTGAACTTAACCGTGAGGTTAAATATTTAACCCTGTGGTTAAATATTTAACTCGCCGAAATCGACGAGTTAAAATTTAAACACAGGTTAAAATTATCTTGAAATCCTGCATTTTCCCTATTTGTCTATTATTCAATCATCATTCAGCTGCAGCTGAGAAAGCGGCATTCAACTTAACGATATATTTAAAAATGAAAACCTTATTAAAGAAATTTCACGTTTTAGATAAATTAATTTCTGGATGTAAACCCAAAAAACGGTTGTATGTTTTGTTTTCAGTTACGTAAGAACAGCTGATTAGCGATGGTTATTCTTTCCAGGTTTATACAAGATTAGGTTTACATCCAGCTCCGGGTTCATGTACTTTCCAAGTTCAAACAAGATTAGATTTACATCCTGCTCCGGGTTCAAGTACTTTCCAGGTTTACATCCAGCTCCGGGTTCATGTACTTTCCAGGTTAACACAAGATTAGGTTTTCCCGGTGTTCCTGTTGTTCCTTGTGCTCTTGTTGTTCCTGGTGTTCCTGTTAATCCCGGTGTTCCTGTTGTTCCTGGTGTTCCTGGTGTTCCCGGTGTTCCTGGTGTTCCTCTTGTTCCTGGTGTTCCTGGTGTTTCCGGTGTTCCTGATGTTCCTGGTGTTCCTTGTGTTCCCGTTGATCCTGGTGTTCCTGTTGTTCTTGGTAATCTGGTTATTCCTGGTGTTCCTGTTATTCCCGGTGTTCCTGTTGTTCCTGGTGTTCCTGGTGTTCCCGGTTTTCCTGTTGTTCCTGGTGTTTCTGGCGTTCCTGGTGTTTCTGGCGTTCCCGGTGTTCCTGGTAGGCCCCCCTGTTAGAGACATATCTATGGAACGCAGGAACAATTATCATGGTTCGGAGAAGCTCCAGGTTCCTGGAGAACTTGCTATATTGGATAAACTATTTTCAAGTTGGGGGAAAATTTAAAGTGGGTTTCATCGATACAAGTGCATTGGTTTAGAACAAATTTCGAATATTTAAAGAGAATCTTTAAAATCATCAAATTCAGCTTTAGATAATTTAATATAAAAGGAAAACTACCTTAGCACCCAGTGTTTCTCATTTAAAATTTGATAATAATATACTTTTAAAAAAATATCGTCAGAGCTGAAAACTCTTGTATTGGATTCCCGTAATCCTGGTTGCAAAACCTCGGTATCCATTGTAGACACTTTCGTTTTTCTGCTTAATCCTCTCTTTTGGATATCCCTGCTGTCTTCGAACCAATATAAGATCTCTCATTGATTGCGCGCAAACATTTGATTTTGATCAAAATCTTGCACTGACGTCTTGTATTTTCCTGTTATAACGGAAAACTGGAAAACAAAATAAGAAATACTGAGCTCCAAGCGGAAATAATTGAATCAAGGGAAAACCAGTAATAGTCTTTAAGTAGAAAGCAACATAAATTGAATTATTTCTCTTGCGTTTTTATTTGAGCTGGATGTATTTGAGCTGGATTTATTTGAGCTGGATGTATTTGAGTTAAGATTAAGTCTTATTTAAATCACAAAGCAATATGTTTAAATAAACTGTAAAAGTAATTTCAAGTGAACCCGCAATTTCAGTGATGCTTTCTCCGTTCACGAAAGTACCCGTCAAACCTTTATATGAGCAACGATATCGCCGTTTTTCTATCTTAAAACGTAATGAATTCTGTCAATTTTATTCCTTAATTCTCTATGCTGCTACACCGCAAGTAAATTTTGTAGAGAAACCACAATTGAAAAATATGACTTTTCTGAAAGTATAATAATAATATCATCTTAATTTTAGCACAAAAGAAGGGTTAAAGGGTACCTTCTAGATCCGGACATAATATTCTTTAAATTGAAGTTCACTCTCTACGCCTACAGTCCCTTTAATGTGAACTGTATTTTATTAAGCTCTTAAATTTCACAATAAATCGTAGAAAACTAATAAAACCCTGTAGAGATATGTCTAGAGATATATCTAGAAATATATCTAGAAACATATCTAGAAAGATATCTAGAAATATATCTAGAGATATATCTAGAGATATATCCAAAAATATATCTAGAAATATATTTAGAAATATATCTAGAAATATATCTAGAGATATACCTAGAGATATATCCAAAAATATATCTAGAAATATATTTAGAAATATATCTAGAAATATATCTAGAAATATACCTAGAAATATATCTAGAAATATATCTAGAAATATATCTAGAAATATATCTAGAAATATATCTAGAGATATATCTACAAATATATCCAGAAATAAGAGATTTAAATTTATATTTCCTCTTTTGAACTTAAATCTTTGAACTGTGATTCGGTCAGTTTGAAACTTTCCTTCTTTTGTCTAACAAGTGTTAAAAAGGTTAAACGGACTAAACTATTTGTTAAGAAAGTTAGAAATTCCATATATTCAAATTTCAGAAAGTCCAGAGTACATAATACAGAACAAAATATTTAAATTTTAAACAAGAATGATAAAGTATGGCCTGGAAAGATAAAGTATTGTCAAGAAAAATGAAGAAATGTTCAAGGAAAATAAAATAATGTTTAAGAACCATCAAGTATGATTAAGTATGATAGAGTAAAATCAAGTATGATAAAGTAAGATTAGGGATGATAAAGTAAGATCAAGTATGATAAAGTAAGATCCAGTACAATAAAGTAAGTTTAGGGATGATAAAGTATGATCAAGTATGATAAAGTAAGATTAGGGATGATAAAGTAAGATCAGAGATTGCAAAGTAAGATTAGGGATGATAAAGTGAGTTCAAGGATGATAAAGTGAGATCAGGGATGATAAAGTGAGATTAGGGATGATAAAGATAAGACCAGGTATGATAGAGTGAAATTACGTATGATAAAGTTAGATCAGGGATGATAAAGTAAGACCAGGTATGATAAAGTGAGATCAGGGATGATAAAGTGAGATAAGGGCAGATAAAGTATTCTACTTTGACTGTTTCTGGTAATTTTGGATAATTATATTTAATGAACCAGATATAAGTAGGGATATAAACTCTAAACACATACTCTCTTTATTTTTTGATTTTAGTTCATCTATAATATACATAAACAAATATATACAAAGTACAAAGTACAAAGTACAAAGTTAGACCCATACAACTTTTGAAGGGAAAAACGACTGTCAGACTCAAATTATAATCTTAAATAGTCCAATACATATGATACTAAGCAGTTGTGGAGCATAAACAAACCCAGTTTTATAAGTTCTTCAGATATTTAAGAATCTTTCCTTAACCCTTTCCTTTTGTTTTTGTTTTTCATGCACAGGGTAGTTGAAAAGCCGGTTGTGATTTTAAAATGTATAATAGCTGATACAGAATTTTGTGAAACAGAATTTTTTTTATTTTTCTTTTTTTCCGACCTTTGTTAGCTTTGTTATCAAACTTATCTAGCACCAAACTCATTAAAATTAGCAGTATTATTTTTGTCATGAGCTGTCCATGAAACATTAGGCTTTGAACATGTATTTAGAAAGGATATTTTAAGTCTATTACTTTTTATGAGAGGGCCAGACGGTAAGGGAAGTTTACAAAAGAAACTACAGACACAAACAGAATTATAAATTACAAAATCAACATTTTATTTGATGTTTCTGTTTTACTCCTGGAGTGTTCTCAGGAAACAGAACTTATCTAGCAAATATCATTAAACCACTCTAGGTTCGCTCAAACAAGAAGTATAGTTGAGATTTCTGTATCTCCAGGTATACCCAGACAAGAAGTAAAGTTGAGGTTTCTGTATCTCCAGGTATACCCAGACAAGGAGTATAGTTGAGATTTCTGTATCTCTAGGTATACTCAAACAAGAAGTTTAGTTGAGATTTCTGTATCTCCAGGTATACCCAGACAAGAAGTATAGTTGAGGTTTCTGTATCTTCAGGTATACCCAGACAAGGAGTATAGTTAAGATTTCTGTATCTCTAGGTATACTCAAACAAGAAGTAACGTTGAGGTTTCTGTATCTCCAGGTATACTCAGACAAGGAGTATAGTTGAGGTTTCTGTATCTCTAGGTTTACTCAAACAAGAAGTATAGTTGAGATTTCTGTATCTCCAGGTATACTCAAACAAGAAATAAAGTTGAGGTTTCTGTATCTCTAGGTATACAGAGACAAGGAGAATAGTTGAGGTTTCTGTATCTCCAGGTATACCCAGACAAGAAGTGTAGTTGAGGTTTCTGTATCTCCAAGTTTGCTCAAACAAAGAAGTATAGTTGAGATTTCTGTATCTCCAGGTTTACCCAGACAAGAAGTATAGTTGAGGGTTCTGTATCTCCAGGTATACCCAGACAAGAAGTATAGTTGAGGTTTCTGTATCTCCAGGTATACCCAGACAAGGAGTATAGTTAAGATTTTTGTATCTCTAGGTATATTCAAACAAGAAGTATAGTTGAGATATCTGTATCTCCAGGTATACCCAGACAAGGAGTATAGTTAAGATTTCTGTATCTCTAGGTATACTCAAACAAGAAGTATAGTTGAGATTTCTGTATCTCCAGGTATACTCAGACAAGGAGTATAGTTGAGGTTTCTGTATCTCTAGGTATACTCAAACAAGAAGTATAGTTGAGATTTCTGTATCTCCAGGTATACTGAGACAAGGAGTATAGTTGAGGTTTCTGTATCTCTAGGTTTACTCAAACAAGAAGTATAGTTGAGATTTCTGTATCTCCAGGTATACTCAAACAAGAAGTAACTTTGAGGTTTCTGTATCTCTAGGTATACACAGACAAGGAGAATAGTTGAGGTTTCTGTATCTCCAGGTATACCCAGACAAGAAGTATAGTTGAGGTTTCTGTATCTCCAGGTTTGCTCAAACAAGAAGTATAGTTGAGATTTCTGTATCTCCAGGTATACTCAGACAAGAAGTATAGTTGAGATTTCTGTATCTCCAGGTATACTCAGACAAGAAGTATAGTCGAGGTTTCTGTATCTCCAGGTATACCCAGACAAGAAGTTTAGTTGAGGTTTCTGTATCTCCAGGTTTACTCAAACAAGAAGTATAGTTGAGGTTTCTGTATCTCCAGGTTTACTCAGACAAGAAGTATAGTTGAGGTTTTTGTATCTCCAGGTATACTCAAACAAGAAGTATAGTCGAGGTTTCTGTATCTCTAGGTAACCCCGACAATGAGTATAGTCGAGGTTTCTGTATCTCTAGGTATACTCAGACAAGAAGTATAGTTGAGGTTTCTGTATATCCAGGTATACCCAGGCAAGAAGTATAGTTGAGGTTTCTGTATCTCTAGGTATACCTCGACAAGAAGCATAGTTGAGGTTTCTGTATCTCTAAGTATACTCAGACAAGAAGTATAGTTGAGGTTTCTGTATCTCTAGGTATACTCAGACAATGAGTATAGTTGAGGTTTCTGTATCTCTAGGTATACTCAAACAATGAGAATAGTTGAGGTTTCTGTATCTCTAGGTATACCTCGACAAGAAGCATAGTTGAGGTTTCTGTATCTCTAAGTATACTTAGACAAGGAGTATAGTTGAGGTTTCTGTATCTCTAAGTATACTCAGACAAGGAGTATAGTTGAGGTTTCTGTATCTCTAAGTATACTCAGACAAGAAGTATAGTTGAGGTTTCTGTATCTCTATGTATACTCAAACAATGAGTATAGTTGAGGTTTCTGTATTTCTAGGTATACTCAGACAAGGTGTATAGTTGAGGTTTCTGTATCTCTAGGTTCAAGTTTCCTGGTAATTAGTTCAACAAACATGAACTAAACTAAACTAAAACCTCTGCGCTATAAACTTTGTAATAAACTTCAAGATTAGAATTAGAATCTAATACTTTTCAAGCTAAAGG